AAATTTAATTTAATTTTTGCCAGTACTGGGGCTTGAATTCAGGGCCGAACACAGTCCCTGAACTTCTTGTGCTCAAGGCTAGTGCTCTACCACTTGAGCCACAACGCCACTTCTGGCTTTTTCTGTTTGTGTGGTACTGAAGAATCGAACTCAGAGCTTCATGCATGCTAGGCAAGTACTCTATCACTAAGCCACATCCCAGCCCTCAAAAACAGATTTCTACAGGGCGCCAATGGCTCATGCCTGTAATCCTAGTTACTCAGGAAGCTGAGATCTGAGAATACGGTTCAAAGCCAGCCAGGGCAGGAAAGTCTGTGAGATTCTTATTTCCAGTAAAACCACTAGAAAACCAGAAGTGGCGCTGTGGCTCAAGTGGTAGAGTGCTCTCCTTGAGCAGTAGAGCGATCGCCTTGAGCTGAAGAGCTGAGGGATAACACCAAAGCCCAGAGTTCAAGCCCCATGACCGACAAAAAAAAAAAAAAAAAAGATTTCTAAGGCCGAGCCAGTGTCTCACACCTGTAATACTAGCTACTCAAGAGGCTGAGATCTTAGGATCACAGTTCAAAGCCAGCTGGGATAGGAAAGTCCATGAGGCTCTTATCTCCAATTAACCACCAGAACACCAGAAGTGACACTGTGGCTCAAGTGGTACAGCACTAGCCTTGAGCTGAAGAGCTCAGAGACAGCACCCAGGACCAGAGTTCAAGCCCCATGACTGACCAGAGGGAAAAAAAAAATTTAAGATTTTGAATTTTAAGTAAATCACTTACCTGTTAAATGGAACATCTTGAAGGATCCGGTCACTGCAAAGGGAAAGGAGGCAATTCTTCTGTAACTAAAAAAAAAAAAAAAAAAATCAAAGGGACAAAAAAAAAAATCTAAGTAAAATACCAATCTAATCTTTGTTTTCTGAATTATGGCAATGGGGCTTGAACTCAGAGCCTAGGTACTGTCCCTTAGCTCTTTCCACTCAAGGCCAGCACCTTACCACCTGAACCACAGCTCTACTTGCAGCATTTTGGTGATTAACTAGAGCTAAGAATCTCTTCCACTATTCTGCCTGGGCTGACTTTGACCCAATAATATCCTCAAATCTCAGTCTCTTGAGTGGGTAAGGATTACAGGTTTGAGCCACTACCACCCAATTTCATCCTAATCTTTTAGTTAAAGGCTGTCTCCATTAAAAAAGGAAGCAGACTAATGAAATTATACTTCTGTTTTTTACCTTGATAAAACAGAAAATCACTATGAATTTTATTCCAATTTCTCTGAAATGTTCCTAAGAGGATATTGATATTCTACGAAAACATTCTTGGTTTGAACTTATATATTTAGATTTTGGCATAATACCAGTACATTAAATAAACTTACCAGTGTTTCAGTACTTTGACTTAAAAATAACTCAGATGTTTTATTTCTGCATAATGTAAGCACCTATCCCTTTGTATTTACCTAATTTATTTTTAAGTTCTATTTAATTTCTCAATAGAACCAAGATGTTAGAAAAGCACAGTCAGTACTTTATTTATTTAGAAAGAAAAAATAAAAAAGTTGCTGTACTTAAAATGCAGGTATCACTGAACACTGTATCTTAAAATCTTAAATAGCGAAGAAAAAAAATTCTGATTGGCTAACCTAAGATAAAATCACAAATTAAAAACTTTAAAAATTTTGGTGCCAGGTGCTGGTGGTTCACACCTGTAATCCTAGCTTTTTACGAGACTGAGATCTGAATGAGGACTACAGTTTTAAGCCAGCCTGAGAGGCAAAGTCTGTGAGACTCTTATCTCCAATAAGTCACCAAAAAAGCCAGAGTGGAGTTGTGGCTCAAGTGCAGAGTGCTAGCCTTAAGGAAAAAAAAAAGAAAGCAAGCTCAGAACAGCTCATCTAGGTCCTGAATTCAAGCCCCAGGGCTAGCACCAAAATCAAACAAAAACAACAACAACAACAACAACAAAAACCCAGGGCTGGGAATATGGCTTAGTGGTAGAGAGCTTACCTAGCATTCATGAAGCCTAGGTTCAATTCCTCAGCACCTCATAAACAGAAAAGGCCAGAAGTGGCACTGTGGCTCAACTGGTAGAGTGCTAGCTAGCCTTGAGCAAAAGAAGCTGAGGGATGGGCTGGGAAAGTAGTTCAGCAGTAGAGTGCTTGCTTTGCATGCATGAGGCCATGGGTTTGATTCCTCAGCACCACATAAACAGAAAAAGCTGGAAATGGCGCTATGGCTCTAGTGGTAGAGCACTAGCCTTGAGCTGAAGAACTCAGGGACAGTGCCCAGGCGCTGAGGTCAAGCCCCAGGACTGGTAAAAAACAAAACAAACAAAAACTGTTCCATTTTAGAAACAAATTTAAATTAACCTGACTCATATGAACTTGAAAGCAATTGGGCTAATTTAACACTTTTAATTTATGGACACTCACCTATAAACCAATTTAGTACCATGAAAACAATGTATGAACATAAGCACATACATAGATATAACATATTAATACACATATATACATAGTCATACAAATAACAATGGTTGAAGGTTTTTCCTGGTGACACACCAGCAAGAAATTAAAGCCAATTGCTTTTAAGATAGACTGATCTGCAGAGTGCCAGTGGCTCACGCCTGTAATCCTAGCTACTCAGGAGGCTGAGATCTGAGGATCATGGTTCAAAGCCAGCCCAGGCAGGAAAGTCCGTGAGACTGTTATCTCCAATAAACCACTAGAAAACCAGAAGTAGCACTGTGGCTCAAGTGGTGGGGCGCTCCTCTTCAGCTGAAGAGCACAGAGACAATGCCCAAGCCTAGAGATCAAGCCTCATGACCAAAAAAAAAAAAAAAGATAGTCTGACTCAAGTCAACCAGTAGCTCATGCCTATAATTTTTGCTACTCAGGAGGCTGAAATCTGAGGACTGCAATTCAAGGCCAGCCTGGGTAAGAAAGTCATGAGATTCTTCAGTTAACCTCCAAAGCCTGGAAGTGGAAGTGTGACTCAAGTGTGTGACTCAAGCATCAGTTTTAAGTGAAAAAGCTATAAGGCAACACCTAGGCCCTGAGTTCAAACTGGAGGGGAAAAAAAAGTCTGATTCTATCATAGCATTTATAGCATATGTTGGAAGTAGTCTATACTTGGCCACTTAAAGACTAATATTCACTCTAACTTGTTTTCCTTTTTTTTGTCAGTCCTGGGGCCTGAACTCTGGGCCTGGGCACTGTCCCTCAGCTCTTCAGCTCAAGGCTAGCACTCTATCACTTGAGCCACAGCACCACTTCCAGCTTTT